GGGGAGGGGGGAGACAGGCCCCGGGCGGGGACGAAGGACACCCCCGACCCCGGGGAACTACAGAAAACCGCGGCCCGGCCGGGCAGAGGCGCCCTGCCCGAGACAGCCCCACCTCAGGGGCTGTGCCTGGCCCTGACCCCTCTGCTTGAAGCCCCTCAAGGGAAACCAAGGGCCAGGGCACTCGAGCTTTCCAGCAGCTCTCTGTCACGTACTGCTGGCTCATGCCGATTGACCTGCACGCAGACTAGCCTGTCCTGCAAGACTGATCTCTACGAGGTGGCAACACGGCCTGCATTTGATTTTAAGCTCAGCTTGACAGAGAGGTGCTTACTTCTGTGAAATCTGGAGCATAAAATGAGAGAAGGTGATCCAGATGGCCACAGGCCAAGTGGTCTTTCTAGGACTGGTATCCCCAGTGCCACTCAGGACAGCCTTGCTTATGGTGTTACTTGCCCCCACCCCATGCCATCATCAGGGGCAAAGGATGTCTCCCGTGGAAAGACACAAATTCAGGAGATGTTTCCTCATTCTGATGGACATATTCTGATGCACCATGTCCCCACACAGTGTTCTCATCTGCCAGCTGAACTGTTGCATTCATGCTACATTGTGCTAGACAGGGAAGCCAATCTAGCATAAGAGCTTATAAATAGCTTCGGATTCTGCAGGGTGAAAGTGTTAAGTGCAGAGATGTCACAGCCCGAAGACAGAAAAGAAGGGACAATGAAATGGAACATGACAGCACTGCCATTCACTTCAGAAGCCTGTGTGTCCAATGAGTTGCTTGGGAGCCAAATTTCCCAACCCTTTATGAGCTGCCTTAGTGAGGGCATGGGGATGCTGCAGACAGAGCTGCATGATGTCTGAATAGATCCTCACAGGTCTGATGAGTCACAGATTCTCACAAAATCATAGATTTTATAATCTCTTGTCACACATGCTGCTTCACAATGTCTGCTCCTAACCTCCATCCCTGCCACACACTCCTGCTTGGAATAAGCAACAGCTCACCTATTTAAAATCAGACTGCTTACAAAAAACTAGTCCACTTGCATGACTTTCATAGCATCAAAAAAAAAAAAAAGACCAAAAAAAGAGCCTGGACAATGACAGGTGATTGGTTTGTTTCACATGCTTAACTGTGCACTTCAAACACCGATATCTACTCTTTGTAAGCCTTTCACATGGATACTTTACAGGGGATTACTTTACCCCTGTGCAATGGGAGGCTTCCCTGTCTTCCCCTCAAAATCTGATGAATGTTGTTTCCAAGAGATCACAGGTTGCAAATAGCAGTTAGGCAATTTCTAGCTCTCATGTGATGGCACCACCATTCTTCAGTTATCACAGTACTGTACCTTTCACGTATACAGCACCGGTACCATGATAACCGAAAAAGGACAGTTCATAGTCTTAATATTTGATGCCATTATCAAATAAAGAACCCTCCCTCCATTTGATTAAAGGAAAACTGCTCTAGGACTGATCTAGTCAAATACTTGTCAGTCTGACAGAGTAAATTACAATTTTCAAACTGGACTCCCTTCCTCCAACCTGTGCGTTGCAACTACCATCATAAGAAATTACTCTTTTTCTATTTTCTGAACCACTACCAGCCACAGACAAAACTTGAATCAAAAATGAGACCGAAGGCCTAGATAGAAGTCTGCTCCCTGATAGGGCTAAAGTTTCAGGGTTGCACATAGCTACATGAATTGAATTCTTAAGCTGTTTCCTACGGACAATCACAGCTTTAATGTTTGGTTAGGCATTTGAAACATGCCATTTAACACCACAGCTACAGAGAGATCACTAGGAAAAACCAGCAGTGTACACTAGGCAACAAAAAGCAAACTGATGAACACACACAGTTCAAGACTAAGACCCAATAATAAACCCCATCTCTGCAATTCCTAGAACCAGTAATAATACAGAACAGTAAGGGAATAATCTTCTAATATGTAGAAATAAACACTAGGTAACTTATAGCACCTGTCTCATTTAAAGATGGGTACAAGTTGTTTCTATTCATAGCCACAGGCAAAGTCTTCAATATACAAAAAATAACTGCGCAATAAAACAAGACCGGTTAATTAAACTGAACTTACGTGTATGGAGACAGAGGTCCTAACAGGACTTTGGAAACATCCCGTTGTCCAAGGGTCATCAGGAGCAGAGCAAGGCTCTGATTTGTTGAATCTACACAGCCTCCCTACAAACCAAAATGTTTTAATAATTAAACTCTGTACAAACCATAAATTGGCATGGGAGGAGAGTAATGAAGGAGAAAGACACACTTAAAAGCATGAATTACCACTCACAATTTTCAAGGGCCAAAAAAGATAAAAATCTAGATTTTGTAGCAACATCAAATTAATGTCACATGACAGGCTGGGAAACAAACAGAGCTAAACCAAACCCCAGTAACAAGGTCACATTATAGATCCCTCCCATCTATCTAACATCACAGAACGTAAGCACTGAAGAATTTATTTGCAGTAAATTGAAAACAGGTATTATAGTTCATGTACGCTTGAAGATACCATGAATTGCAGGACTTTACGATAAGTATGAAGTTACATTCTGACAAATAGTTTAGCGTTAGCAGGGGCTAACCAGCAAGTTAAAAGCTGTTTCATACACACCCGCTTAAGCCCTTGCTGCTAACTTCTGTGGTTTTACATTTGTAACACATTTCTTCCCTATATTTAAAATGGAAAGATTTTTTTAACTGCTATGTGAAAGAAGCCATGCATAAAATTATGTAGAACTACACATACTCTTGCACATATTTGCCCATAGGAAGTCATACATGCATGGTAAATTGTTTTGTATGTGGAAGGTGTTAACCACGACACATACATAAATTAGAAATGGAAGGCTTTGTTTACAAAGCTTGAACTGCAGTAGAGAGAATTTACCAACTTTTACAATGCAAACCCATCGAAAATAGGAAAAATACCTGGCATAATATTTCAGACTGTCCTCATATTCATCCTGATCCGTGGCCCCATGAAATCTGTGAGCAGTTTCCTGATGGATCAGACCTAATGCTAAGCCCTCTGGAGAGAGCAAAACTAAACATTCATCCTTTTAAAACCAAATTCTCTAATGAGGTAAACTGACAGTTACCTTTGTGGGCAAGTAGTAACCTGTCACCATTTTAAGAGATTACACCATCGAAAAAGGCAAAGGAGGGGCAAAATAAATTTTGGACGACATAGATTAAGAAAACACAATGATGTGACAACCTCAGCACACTTACTCAGTGAGAGGGCAGAAAGGACCACCTTTCCAAGGACAGTTAGTGAAGGTTTAATTTTCAAGATGGCCTTGATTCAGTGTCATAAGACTCAACTCCATTCTTCTGAAAAATGCCTCTGCACTTCACGCAACAAATGATACACCACAACGAAGGAAATGTCTTCATTACATTCATTACTATGACCTAACTCCTAGCAACATGCTCTTACAGCAGATTTTGCCCTTTTAACTGCATGAACCTGACATACCAAAGTAAAGTTCATGCACTCAACCTAATGCCCCCTATGGTACTGATAAAAATTTTGCTTTATCTGGAGTGAACAGGGTACCTACAGAATTTGCTGGTGCAATCTAGAGCCACAGCTCTCACCAGCTGCATTTGCCAAACTGAAACATGTACAAGAAGCAGATGAGAGTTTGGTAAGGACTATTCCTGACACAGGACTTTCTGTATTTGTAGTTCAGTTAATAATTCAGGATGCTCTTTATCACTTGGATGAAAACTGTATATTCAGAGCTTGTTTTCATTTTTCTAAAGCTGAAAACATAAAACATATATTTTTATGACCAAATATATACAAAAGCTTCAATCAGCATGGAAACAACCATGTCCTTAACAATATAGCAAAACACGATGCATCCATGTCCTCATTTGGCTGGGATAGAATCATAGGCCAGCCACGCTAGGGAGGCTCAGGTCAGCCAGGGTAGCTGACCTGAGTTAGCTACAGGGGTAGCCCACACCATAATGTCATGGTCACTGTGAAGGGGGAAGGTTTGCTGAGGAAGGGGAGCTCCTGTAGGGGTCCTGCTGCAGTTCCTCCTGCTCCTCCTCTGGCTTCTCCCTGCTTCTGAGGGCTGGATATTCCTTTGGCTGAGTATAACTCTGTATCTCTGTGGGTACTGGTGTTACCTCATTAAAATCTGTTCTCACTTCCACCCATGGGCCTGCTCTCATTTTTCCCAATTCTCCTCCCTGGCTGGTGAGGTTTGTTGGGTGATAGAGCGACTGTTACAGTTTAGCCCGGGGTACAGGCTAAACACAGACAATCCATCATGTCCTAGCTGCTTACATAAGCTCTCTTGCTGCAGTGAGTCAGTCAGCCCCACTATTGTTGTGCATCAGCAATGCACTGTTATGCCCATTCCCACATAGGCAGCTGCCAGACAGGGAAAATTAGGTGATTTGCTTGTAATCTAACAATGAGAGAAGAGTAACCTGAGCCAAATGAAAGACATTCCACTCCCAAGGAGGACAACTTTTTTCTCTCAATCCACCTGCCACATACTCAAGAGTCCAAAAGCAAACACAACCTTCCCAAGAGAACTGGGATGGACAAAGTCAGAGTCAAAGTACTGACATTTGCTCCAAAATAGCTGGCACTCGTTACCAACCTAGGATCCAGCTTCTAGTCCATATTCATTCAGTTTATGGCAGATTTTTTGTTATTGTTTCCACTGACAGCTGGATGTGACAATTAGAGTCACAGATCACTTAAAATCACATCCATTTTGAAATGTTTTTAGACAAACAACAGTTAACATGCACATACAAATATCACAACTCTGGGTACTGGACAACAGTGTTTTGAAGAGGATCATTCTCCTGAGCTTGACCCCAGATTTCATTTAGTCTTGGTTATATTTTGGCATACTTGCGATTTCCTCCCTTACCTGTGCACTACACACGCACATGCCTTAATAATTTCTTACATGAAGTGCAGAAGGTTTTCGGTTTGCATTTCCCCCCCCCCCAGGAGCAGAGCCTTGTCACATTGAAGTAAGGCCCTCTTGAAAATTAAGCCTACAGTGAAATTGTTCCCTCACTTTAGCTCTACTTAATTAAAACAAACAGCCATACCCCCCCTGCCCCTCCACCCCTCCTAACAACTTGACTTTTCTTCATTAAAGAACTCAGCCTTAAAATAGGTATTGCATCCTCCCCTATTTTTCATGATCACAAGGAATATAAACATTCAATCCTTTTCCAGTCCTTCCAGGACCTTCCATTCTGCCAATCGCCTGCTATATGAAGCTCCCATAACCAATGCCTTTCAAAGGCAAGAGGAAGATCCTTATTGGCCTTCTACAACCAAGCTTAGGTAAGAACTGCATACAGATTCGTAAAGACAATGCTAGCCAGTCACTCCATGCCCCCTTTTTCAGAGACACTTTCCATCAACAAATATACATAAAAAAGCTCCACTGATTCCAAGAATCATACAATTTAATTTCTTTTTGAAGGCTTAATAAAAGCGACCATTTAGCACTTAACATAGCAAGACTCAAATCCTTAGATTTCCTAGATGATAAAGTTCTCATAATAGCAAGCATAAAGCAAGCACTTTAAGAGATGCCCCTTGACCCCTTTTAACAGTAATGAACTCCAGTAGATTTGTGGGTGACCCTGACAGCTAAAATCCTTCTACAGAGAATTATGTCTAGTGCCCTCAGGTTGCCCTTTTCTGGTCAACTCTCCCCAGCTCCTGCAGCACAGTACCTAGAGGAAAAGACACAGATGGAGAAAAAAGTTTCATAAAGAGAGGATCTAAACACAGGGCAAGAAATTCTTCCTTGAGCCCTGTATTCAGTGAGTAGCCGGTGTAGACAGTGGGACTTAAAGAGTGCCTGTTCAGAGCAACCTATTCTTGCTCCATGCACAGCTTTCCCAAATTTTTACTGATGTTTCACTAGATGTCTTATCTAGGCAAAGAAACCTAAAAGAAAAAGTATCTTCAAACTAAATAAACACTGCATGCTTTGCAACAAGTTTTTATATCCTTTCTGGGGTCAATACTAAGTCAAACTGACCTAAGCTCAAAAAAAAAAAAAACAAACCAAAAAAACCAACCCACCAAACCAAAAAAAAAAATCCCAATCTATGAGAAAGTCCATCTTTCCAAGTTCCTGGCTAGTACTGTGTGAGTGAGCATGTGCATCTCACAAATTATAGTGTGCACTCTGAAGACTACAGGACGAAACACACCATATTGCCTATGACAAAGGGAGCAGGGAATTCATGAACAGTGAATAAGGACTGAGCACTTCAGTGGGTAAGCAGCACAATAGCCAAAAACGCTAACAAACAAGAACTTTTCCATGCAAGCTGCTCCAGTGGAGGACCATGAGCAGTCCATACACTGCTCAGCACTTGTCAGTCACTCTTGGACTGAAGCGGCCCACGCATAAAAGAGCCTTCCAGTAGTGCCAGTGGTACCAGAGCAGGCCACAGCTGATAGCCTCACTTACTTGGAATCTGATCTTTAAAAACATTGAAACCTCATGGCCTATGACTATTATTCAAAGACCTGCCTGACACTGTTTGCTCCTCAAACCCTTTTTTCTTTTTCTGTTTTCCCCAAATCCTCACTATCCTGATGCTCTGCAGACTTTGACTAATCACATTCAAATAGCTGTAGGTACACTAAAGCAGAAAACTATCTGGTTCAGGCCTTTCCAACTCTCTTAATTTCAGAAGTTCTCTGGCATTTGACCCTGAAGAAAGTATAGTATCTGGACAAACTTCCTCACTAGTTTCAATCTGTCAAGTGCTGGATGGTTTTCAATAGAAAAAGATGCCCATTGCTACTGAAAAAAGTATGTGCAAATCGGACTTTTGATGTCTCCAATCATCTGACTACCTGAAGATGTTTTCCAAGAGGTTTACACAAAGCAACAAATGTACCAAATTTTATGTTGGTTTGGCTTTTTTTGGTTTGTTGGTTGGTTTTATTTTGCTTTTTTTGGGGGGTGAAGACTGAAAGATTTTACAATTCACCCCTCAAAAATAGCTACCCATCACTACATAATTGCAGAAACAGGAAGGTGTTTCAGTCACTAGTTGTAACTACATTCTCTATGCGTACTGGACTTTCAAATGCAAGGGGTCTGGACTGTACCCAGGAAGAATATTTCTTTGTGGCGTTTCTATGAGTAAGAACCCTGGGTGGAAAGTCCTCTGGCAACATGGTGCATATATTGAATAAGCAAAGACAAAATATTAATGGCAGATTGGAACAAGCGGGCTAGTTGGTAATTCAGACAGATGAAAGGTTTGCAGCAGGGAATGGAAAAGATAACACAGGCACAGACGAACAATCTACTACAGGCATGGATGTGATTTATGAGGTTAAGAGGTATTTTTTACAGCTGACTACAGAATCTCATTAACGCCATTTTTAATACTTTGCAAAATCCTATCAGGTTATTCCAGTTCAGAGTAATTACTTTTTTTTAAACAGTGAGTACAATTTGTAGATGACTGCCTCCTAAAGGCCAAATATATTTTGTCGATACTAACAGCTACAGACTTTAACGTTTGTGGAGATACACAACAAAATCAGGTAGGTTCTTAATTAAATCAGAAACTCACTATGAAGCTAATTGCTAAATTGTTTGTAAGACTGAAAGCTGCTCATCCATTGAGTCTCACACAAATGTAAAATTAAAAAAAAAAAAATTTACACTCTGGAAGGCTGTGATGCACTTAAGATTCTCAGGCAAACACTGCCCTAGCTGCTTTCCAACAAACCATTCAGCCAATTCCTCATACAACCAACAGATCTCACCACATCTGACTGTGTCATCATCACCATAAAGCAGCCGACATTAAGGCTACCTTCTTTTTTTTTCCCCCCTTCTTCCTCATATGTTCTCCCAGACATATGCCCCATTCCAAACACTAATTTAAGAGCATTAGGTCTATTACTCCTCCAACTTCTTATTAAAAAAGTATCAGCCCATGTGAAGCCAACTGAATTCTGTTGCACACAAGGCAACAAAAAGAAAAATTTGCCACTACAATGATTTATAGTAACGTGTCCTGGACATGGGAAATAACACAGCCCAGTAAGTCCTTCCATTGTTACCAGAACTATACAAAACCACTCCTTACCTGAATGAAGGCGAACTGGCAGCATCAGATAATTCTCTGTTTGGATCTCAGCCTATCTGAGGGTTCTCCCCAAACCACTTCTTCCTTTACCAGTATGTCATCACTTTCTTCCTCTACAGCTATACACTGAAAATATATTGGGCCACTTACCCTGTAGACCTCCTCAAGCAACAGCTTAGCACAATTCTGACCAAGTTCCTCAGGAAGCACAGCTGTTCCCTGGCCCTGAGGGTTTGAGGTTAGCTCAGCACTGAGGATAGTGCCATTGATAGTTTCTGCAGTAAGGCACATCCCAAAACCTGGTGATCTGAAAGAAAAGGAAAAAGTGTGTTTGATTTAAGAACAAAAATTGAGTAATGAGCCAAGAACTAGTACCAGCCAACCTCCTCCTCAAGTTGATACTGACAGCGCTTGGACATTGCCTTATGTAAATATTTTCTAGTAATTCTTTTGTACCTTTTAGCTTTGTATAGCACGCATGGGAAAACTTTTGAGTAAAACTTCTGGTGACCATGAAGTGCTAGAACTCAAGATCCTCACGGCAACAAGGAGCGTGTGCAGCAAGCTCACTACCCTGGACTTCAAGAGAGCAGACTTTGACCTCTTCAGGGATCTGCTTAGTGGGGTACCATGGGATGAAGCCCTGAAGGGGAGAGGGGCCCAAGAAAGCTGGTCCGTATGCAAGGACCGAGTCCAGGAGCAATGCGTCCCACAAAGAGGAAGGCAGGCAAGAATGCCGGGAGGCCTGCGTGGATGAACAGGGAACTCCTGGACACACTTAAAAGACAAAAAGAGAATTTACAGAAAGTGGAAGGACAAGTGGACTGGGAAGAATATACAGAAGTTGTCCAAGCAGCCAGGAATCAGGTAAGGAAAGCTAAAGCCCAGTCAGAACTAAGTATGTCCAGGGGCATCAAGGGTAACCAGAAAAACTTTCATAGGTATGCCAGTGATAAAAGGAAGACTAGGGAAGCTGTGGGCCCTCCCCAGAAGGAAACAGGAGAACTGGTCACGATGGACATGGAGAAGGCTGAGGTTCTCAATGACTTCTTTGCCTCAGTCTTCATTGGCAAGGGCTCTAGTCACACTGTCCAAGTTGCAGAAGCTGAAAGCGGGGACTGGGAGAAGGAAGATCTGCCCACTGTGAGTGAAGAGGAGGTTCATGACTATCTAAAGAAACTGAAGGTGTACAAGTCCATGGGACCTGATGAGATCCATCCACAAGTCCCGAGAGAATTAGCAGACCAAGTTGCTAGGCCACTTTCCATCATATTTGGGAAGCCATGGCAGTCTGGTGAAGTGCCCACTGACTGGAAAAGGGGAAACATCACCTCCATATTCAAAAGGGGAAAAAAGGAAGACCCAGGCAGCTACAGGCCGGTCAGTCTCACCTCTGTGCCTGGCAAGATCATGGAGCAGATCCTCCTGAAGGCTCTGCTATGGCACGTGGAAAATGTGGAAATGATTGGTGGCAACCAACAAGGCTTCACCAAGGGAAAATCCTGCCTGACGAACCTGGTGCCCTTTTATGATGGAGTAACAGCACCAGCTGACAAGGTAAGAGCAACTGATGTCATCTATCTGGACTTGTGCAAAGCCTTTGACACTGTCCCGCACAGCATCCTGGTCTCCAAATTCGAAAGACATGGATTTGACAGAAGGACCACTCGGTGGATAAGAAATTGGCTGGAAGGTCGCACTCACAAAGTAGCAATCAATGGCTCGACTCTGAGTGGAGACCAGTGACAAGTGGTGTGCCTCAGCGATTGGTACTGGGACCAGTGCTATTTAAAATCTTTGTCAGCAACATGGACAGTGGCATCAAGTGCACCCTCAGCAAGTTTGCCAATGACACCAACCGATGTGGTGAGGTCGACACACTGGAGGGAAGGGATGCCATCCAGAGGGACCTGGACAGGCTGGAGAGGTGGGCCCAGGCCAACCTCATGAAGTTTAACAAGGCCAAGTGCAAGGTCCTGCACCTGGGTCGAGGCAATCCCAAGCACAAGTACAAGCTAGGCAATAAGTGGATTGTGAGTAGTCCTGAGGAGAAGGACTTGGGCGTACCGGTGGATGACAAAATGAACATGAGCCAACAGTGTGCGCCTGCAGCCCAGAAAGCCAACTGCATCCTGGGCTGCATCAAGAGATGTGTGGCCAGCAGGTTGAGGGAGGTGACTCTGCCCCTCTGCTCTGCCCTCGTGAGATCCCACCCGCATCCAGCTCTGGAGCCCGCAACACAAGAAAGACATGGAGCTGTTGGAGTGAGTCCAGAGGAGGACTACCAAGATGCTCAGAGGGTTGGAACACCTTTCCTATGAGGACAGGCTGAGAGAGTTGGGCTTGTTCAGCCTGGAAAAGAGAAGGCTCTGGGAAGACCTTGTAGCGGCCTTCCGGTACCTGAAGGAAGCCTACAAGAAGGCTGGGGAGGGACTTTTACAAGGGCCTGCAGTGATAGGACAAGAGGTAATGGTTGGAAGCTGGGAGAGGGCAGGTTTAGCCTAGATCCAAGGAAGATCTGAGGGTGGTGAGGCACTGGAACAGGTTGCCTAAGGAAGTTGTGGATGCTCGAACCCTGGAAGTGTTCAAGGCCAGGCTGGATGGAGCCTTGATCAACCTGGTCTGGTGGAAGGTGTCTCTGGCAGGGGGGGTTGGAACTAGATGATCTTTGAGGTCCCTTCCAACCCAAACCATTCTATGATAAAAACGAAAATAACAACCACCAGGACTTGCAGTGGAGAATGCACAGAATGCTTCTTATCTTAAGGTAACATCTTCAAGGACTTGAGCTAACTGAGTAGCCAAGGATATCTGAAGGCTGCAAAGCATTTCTGCAAGAATAACAACTCCAGCTGCGCCCTGAAGTAAACTTTGTCTCAAAATGAGTAGGGGGCGCTTACCCAAATGACCACCTGAGACCCCTGCGGATGCAGAGTATAGTTTTGCAATGCTAGTGATATGCAAATATGGTAGAAAGGTGGAGTTGAGTATGACAAGTGATGTGTGTGGCATGTAATTGAGATATGAAAATTCTAGTAAATAAATATGCTGAGATTTCTGTTTAGCTTTGCACTTGATTTGTGAACCTTCCGCGAGTGCCCAGTTCTGCACACTATTGAATAAAGCAATGTCTCCCTCCTAAAAATAATTTCATTTCTATGTTTTGGGAGTTTGGCTAAAACAACAACAAAGTCACAAACAGCTCCTCTCATAGAGTAATACTAGGAATCTGGACTTGCTGGCAAGGTTCCTGTTCTACACATTTGATTCAGCCTGGAAAAAACATTAACAACAGTATTTAAAAGTTAAACGCAGTACCACTTGCCCCAAACCCACTGTGCTGGCTATTCCTAGCACAAACCCTTCAAAAGGGTAAAAAGGAAAGAAAAAAAAAAAAAGAAAAACAAAAGAATAAACCATCCAAACCTCATAAATACCCACCTCTGTTTAAAAAACCCTTTATGTGAAAGTACCTTTCACATTTATTTAACTCATGTTTGGTGAACATTTCAAAGGTATCTAGAGTTTCTTCTCTGCGACATAAAAAAACAAAACTAACTTTCTTTAGGGTTCAAGCTCTTT